AGTAATTTCCTTATTATATTTTATTTATTGACTCTGTTCAGGGGAGATTGCCATAGTGTGGAGGCCAGAGGACAACTTGTAGGAGTCAGTTCTCTTCATCCACCACATATCTCTTAGGGATTGAGTTCAGGTCATTATACTTGAAGGGCAAGCACCTTTACCCACTGGGCCACCTTGCTAGCCAAAATGGTTTCAGGTGAAACTAAGACTAATTTTTCATTGCTAAGAAGTCACAGGGCTTTCTTTGTACATGCTAGGCAATGTACATCACTACAAAGTTGCTAGGCAACCCTACCCCTGAGAGACATCCTAACAGCAAACTAAAACTAACTTTGAGTGGGTAAAGAAAGCATTTGCCACCCATGAGGACCTGAGTTCATTCTCCAGAACACAGATAAGGACAGGCACAGCAATACATATCTATAACTCCAGTGCTCCTGGAGTTGGAGACGAAATCCCTACAAGACTGTGCTGTTGTAAGCAAGCAGCAGCAAATAAGATATAGTTTCAATCAAGGTGGAAGGAAGGTGAAAGACTAGCACCCAAGGCTGTCCTCTGACCCCTACACAAACGCCACGACATGTACATACCCAAGCGTAGGTGCACAGGCACACAGAGCCAGGTATGACAGACAACATACATCTGTAACCCCAGCACTGGGGGGCAGTGACAGACACTCTCTGCCAATTCACTGGTCTAGCTGAATCAGTGAGCTCCATTTTCAGTGAAAGACCCTGACTCAAAAAATAAGGTGGAGCCAGGAATGGGCACATAACTTTAATCTCAGCACTTGGAGGCAGAGGCTGGTGGATCTCTGTGTTTGAAGCCAGCCTGGTCTACACAGTGAGGTCCAGGACAGCCAGGACTATATAACATATAACAGAGACGCCCTGTGCCAAAACAAACAAACAAAAAAGATGGAGAGTAACTGAAGCAGATATCTAATGCTGGCTCCTGGCCTCCACATGAACATGTGCACATACATACATACACACAAGTCAAACAAGAATCCATCACTTCCTTAAAACAAAGTGCAGTCTATTACAAAACCCTAAGTAAAAACATCCATTGCCAAACCAATATACTTATTAGCAACTATTCTCTCATTTTTTTGTTGTTGTTGTTTTGTTGTTGTTGTTGTTTGAGACAGGGTTTCTCTGTATTGTTTTGGAGCCTGTCCTGGAACTCACTCAGTAGACCAGCTGGCCTCGAACTCGAAGAGATCTGCCTGCCTCTGCCTCCAGAGTGCTGGGATTAAAAGCATGGGGCACCAACGCCCGACCATCATTTGAAAAACTTAATGCCAGGAAAAGTAACTTTAACTTTAGAATTCTACAATGGGGCAGTGCATAGTGGTGCACTCCTTTAATCCCAGCACTCAGGAGGCAGAGACTGGGGGATCTCTTGTGAAGTTGAAGCTAACCTAGTCTACATATCAAGCTCCAGGCCATCCAAGGCTACATACATAGTAAGACCCTGCCTCAAAATGAACAAAGTTGTACAATGAGTGTTGGAGAGATGGCTCAGCAGTTAATAGCACTAGCTGCTCCCCCAGAGGACCCCAGAACCCACATGGTACCGTATAACCACCTGTAACTTCAGTTCTAGGAAAAATCTGATGCCCTCTTCTGGCCTCAATGAGTACCAAGCATGCACATGGTGCACGGATATACAGGCAAACACCCATACACAGAAAATAATTAAGTAAAGAAATTAAATTCTCCAATATCTTAAAGAGATAGCCAGTAAGATAGTTGTGTAAGTTCAGGCACTTGCCATCAAGTCTGAAGTTTTATCCCCAGAACTCCCTTCCATGATTACCCTAAAGAGAACAACTACATTCTGCCTCCAAATAAAAGGAAAGCTTAACCTGACTCACTTGGACTAAATCCCACCTTAACCCACTGAGTCATTCTGCTGGCCCCAAAACCACCATCTTTCCAGGCTCCAATAGGTAATTCCAAACCCATGACCACAGAGCTGGCCCTCATTAAACTCAGTGAGTGACAAAACAAACAAAAAGATATGAACGCTTTGTTCGGGAAAGGGACTTACAGGGAGAAGCATGGGCTGAGTGGGGCTACAAAGTGTGGGAGGGTAGCGGTAACCAGAACAGACTATGCACATGTGTGAATCTGTCAAAGAACACATTTAATAAAAGTTATTTTAAAAACCTACCATCTTCAATCAGTGGAGTTTAGGAAAATTATTACTAAATTACACGTTGGAACAAACTGCTATTTGAAAAATAAAATCCATCCTGATCCTCACCTCACACCAAATGCCAACATAAATTATAAATCAAAAAATAAATTAAAAGGGCTAGAACTGTAGTTCTGTGGTAGAACACCAACATTGAATGTTTGAGGCCCTAGGTTCAATTCACAATTTTGCTAATAATAATAATTAGTAAAATAATATTTTAAATTTATCTTCCAAAATCCAAAAATTAATATCAATTTAACTTTAGAGATGACTTTTTATCTTATTATTACCATTATTGTGTACATGTCTGATGTATGTGGATGTGCACATCTTGACATTCATGTAGAGATCGGAGGATACTTTTGGGAGTCAGTTATCTCCTTCCACCATTGGTTTCATTAATCCCACTCATGTCAGCCATTTCGTATGGCAAATTCTGTTTATCCTCAGAACCATCTCATTAGACTGGAAATCTCTTAAGTATAAATCCAAATAATTAAGTCAAATGACCACATATTAAATATAAAACTTGTTTTTAAAGAGGGGGCAGAGGCTGAAGAGATGCATCAGTGGTTGGGAGCACTAATTGCTCTTGCAAAGGGTTCTATTCCCTGCACTCATCTATCCATCCATAACTCCAGCTCCAGGGGATCTGACACCCTCTTCTGACTGCCGCAGGCACTAAGCACAAGTGTTGCAAAAACAAACAGTCAAACACAAAAGAAACCCAATTAAGGGCCAGCAGTGGTGGGGCACACCTTTGATCCCAGCACTCAGCAGGCAGATTTCAGTGAGTTCAATCAAGGCCAAGTCTGGTCTACAGAGTGAGTTCCAGGACAGCCAGGGCTACACTGAGAAACCCTGTCTCAAAAAAAAAAAAAAAAAAAAAAAGAAAAAGAAAATTTTTAAAGGAAGAAAATTAACTAAAAAAATTTAATTGGAAATTATATAAAAATCCTTATAAATAAAAATCACAGTGCTAGAGGTATAGCTTGGTAGAGCTCATGTCTGGTATGTGTGCAAGTCCTAAATTTGATTTCTAGCACAAAATAAAAATTTTTTTTTACAAGTTTATAGTTAGGCACACAGGTGCACAGGCTTATAATCCCAGCACGGGGAACGAAGAGAAAAGAGGATCAAGAATTTAAAATCATTCTCTGTTACAAAGGGGTAACCTGGTCTATGAAAGCCTAGCTCATTAGAATATAATACTCACAAGAGGCCATGAACAAAGAACATGAACCCTCAGAACTTTCAAGTCTGGAACTGGGGAGATGGCTCAGTAGGACAAGGACCAGAGTTCAGATGAGCTCCCATACACAGCCAGGTGCCCTGAGTGGCATACACCAATAATCCTAATGCTGGGGACAGACCCAGTGGTGGGAACTTGCTGGCCAGCCATTCTAACCAAATCTCTAAGATCCAGGCCCAGTGAGGAAGCCTCTCTCAAAAACAGGGTAGACAGGGTATCTGTTGAAATAAACAACAGATACTAACCTTTGGCCTACACACACACTCTCATGTGCACATCAACCCTCCTGGATGTGCACAAACACAAGAACACACACACAAATGCAATGAACTGCAATGCAAGGGTTTGCCTACTTCTTTATACCTAACTGTACTAATAATACTTGCCAAATAGGCTAAAACACAGATTATTCTTAGAATGTTCCCAAAATTTCCAGTGACAAGAAACCCACCTTTAAATAGAATTTCATTGTACTGTTGGGAGTACCTGGCTTTTAGAAAGCCACACAATCTCTCTTTACAGCTGAACTCCCACACAATCGGGTCATCGAGCTGTCCCTGGAGATTACCTTTCTGCAAATGAGGAAGGCCCTGAGCCTCCCTCCCAGAAAGAACTTTGAAGCCTGGTTGTGATGCTTGTAACCCCAGCATTCTGGAGGGCAAGGCAGAAAGATCTTGAGTTGCAGGCCAACCAGGACTACACAGTGAGTTCCAAAGTAGCAACACGGTAAGAGCCTCAGTTAAAAGAAGAGATAGGCAGGGAAGCAAGCAAGCAGAAAAGTCTGCTTTAGGTTTCTTTTTGTATTTATTGTTTATTTGTTTTGAGGCAGGGTCTCCCTACATAGCACCAGTTGTCCTGGATGGAACTCACTATGTAGGCCAGTTGGCCTCAAACTCAAGAGATCCAGCTGCCTTGGCCTTCCGAGTGCTGGAACTAAAGTCGTATGCCACTATGCCTGGCTTTCTGCTTTAAGTTTCAATCCCAGGTACCTTGCAAAAGAAATATGCATATGCAAAAGTTGTCTTTCCTGGATACCTACTCCCTTCGCAAAAATAAGTCTTTGGTCCCTCTTGAACAAAAATGTATCTTAAGGGTGTGTTAAACATATCTTACAGCCACAGCGAGAGCATGTATAATAGGCAGGAACGGAAGAGGGCGGTATGAGCACATAACGTGTGTTTTATAAGCGCTGAATTATTTTCTGGAGTCGCTACTCCCTCCAGTGGAAGTTTGCAAGCATCGCTTATTTTTCCCCTTCACTATTTAACAAGAGGGTAAAAGGGGGGGAAAATCTATTTCTTACAAACTTTAATTTTTCTGGACTGGAGTACAAAATCAAGTTTCCTACCCAGCCCAGAGTTGATGATCGTTCAGCAGCAGGAACAAAATGTGCTTGAATGTGCTTGAAATGAGCAGACTCGGGAAAGATGCCCTACTCAAAGCTGGTGGCCCTTCTATCTTCTCTGGACAACTGGACTATAGTCATTCCTGGGCTGTTCTCCTCCAGGGCTGTTAGGGAGGAGGGTCTTAGTAAGAGCAGTAGTCACCGGGCCGGTGGTGGTCCAGGTCTTTAATCCCATCATCACTCAGGAGGCAGGTGGACCTCTGAATTTGAGGCCAGCCTGGTCTACAGAGTGAGTTCCAGGACAGCCAGGGCTACAGAGAGAAACCCAGTCTCGAGAAACCGTCCACGTTAAGTCTAATCTATTGCACCCTGCCGAGACAGGACGTCTCTCTGCGGGGTTGTCTTTAGTAACCTGGATGAGCCGGGCGTACACTTTCTCACGACACATTTCAGAGGGAAACGGTGCCCACACCTGCTCCGCTCTAAGCCCGAGCCTCTGAGGACCCAGCAGCACCGCGCGGCCCCACAAGGGTCTCCCAGCCATCCAGGCAGCCAGCCAGCCATCCCGGGCTTCCTGGGACCGCCCAGCCCCCGAAGCGCCCGCCGCTCTCCCTCGGCACCCCGCGCCGCTCCGCGGAGTAACGGGCCGCGCCCTCGGGATGAACCCACTTTTCCAAAAATAACGCTCTCGCACCTGCCCCCCGGGCAGCGGCTGCCGGGGCCGCTGCACCAGGGCCGGGGACCAACCGCCGACCACACGTCCACTTTGATTCCTCCCGCCATGGTTGCCTCACACCGCCGCCTCCTCACGCTCCCCTCCTCGGCAACTGTCTCCGGATAGGCAGCGCCGGCAGCGAATCAGCGGCGAGACCCGCCCCTACGCTCCGGAGGGGCGGGCGGGGCTTCGCGCGCTCCGGCCTCCCGCGCTCCTAGAAGCCACGCCTCCTAACAACCCAACCCTCGCAATGGCAACAGGAAGGTCCCACCCCCCAACCAACCTGTTTCCGTCTCCCCGGTTTATTTACAAGCGAGATTGACGGCAAGCTGGCCCAATAAAAAATGAGAACGGGAGAGGCCCTGTTGGGCCGCCCCTTCCCGTCGAAAGAAACTCTAATCATTAAAGTTCCTGCTGCTTTTTCTTTCTTCCCCACTTCGGGCTCTTTATTACCCGCAAGCCAACGGTAACTCTTTAGGTACAAGGATCTGACGTGACAGTTATTTTTAAGGTAAAATGGGTGACAGCTGGCCCCCGCAGTTGTGAAGAGGTCTCCGCCTGGGCGTTGTCACGGTTTTTGAAGGCGGAAACGACGCTCTCAAGTGTAGTCGTCGAGCCCAGCCTGTGCCTCAGTGGCACGTTAACCACGTGTAAGGGCCCCGACGTCGGTCCCCAGTCCTACAGAACGAACAGGAAACGTGGCACCAAAAACAATTTCTTTTTAGTTCCCTTTTTTGACTGGAGATGCAGCTGGACCATGCTCAAGGCCCTGGTTTCCATTACCAGCACCACAGAAATAAAGCATAATCCACAGGGGGTGTTGGTTGTGGACCGAAAAAGGTAGAAAAAGATGAGAATTAAGACGAGGTTGTAGCTGGAGTTTCTTTTCCAGAAACGGGGTTTATTACCTCTGTTTAAAAGGAAGCCAAGGCTGGCCAGGTGGTGGCGGCGCAGGCCTTTGATCCCAGCACTTGGAGGCAGAGGGAGGTGAACCTCTGTGGGTTTGAAGCCAGCCTGGTCGACAGAGTTGAGTTCCAGGACTACACAGTGAGCCCCTGTCTCGAAACACCAAAAAAATAAAAACCAGTAAAAACAAAAGAGTAAATTCTAGCAATGTACTTATGTATGTAAATATATGGATGTGAATGCATGTGATATATATAGAGAGAGATTTTATATATGTGCATTTTTTTTTTTTTTTAGATAGGGTCTGGCTATGTGACCCTGGCTGTCCTGGAACTTGTATAGACTGGTATCAAACTTTCAGCGATCTTTCTTCCTTTGCCTGCCAAATACTGGGATTACAGGCGTGTGTCACCAGTGTGACACACTTCAGGTCTCTTTCAGGCCCTTTCTTTGTTCTATGTTTTTATTTTGGGAAGTGTTATTTGTGGGTTTTTGGGGGAAGTGTTATTTACTTATTTGTGGGGTTTTTTGAGACAAGGGTTTCTCTGTGTAGCCCTGGCTGTCCTGGAACAGGATTTATAGACCAGGCTGGCTTTGAACTCACAGAGATCCGTCTGCCCCTGCCTCCCGAGTGCTGGGATTAAAGGCGTGCACCACCACCAGGCTTTAGATTTGTTCTTCATTCTATTTTTATTTAATGTGTATGGCTGTTTTGCCTACATGTGTGCTTGTGTACCACATAAATGTAATGCCCGAGAAGATGAGAAAAGGTCTATGGACCTCATGGAACTGAAGTTATAGACAGTTAAGGTGTTGGGAGCCAAACCTGGCTCTGGGTCCTCTGCAGTAGCAACAAGTCCTCCTAACCACTCAGCCAGCTTTTGGTTTTATTTATTTTATTTTGGATACAAGGTCTCATGTATCCCAGGAAGGTCTCAAATTCCCTATGTAACTAAGAATGACCTTGAACTCCTGATCTCCTACCCCAACTCGAAAGAGCTACATTGGAGACAAGTGCCACCTTACCAGGCCAGGCCTTTCCGTTTTCAAATATGTCCTTTCCCTTGTTTTCACTGAAGTCAAAAACAGGTAAGCTAATTTCAAGTTTAGAAACTAATTACATGAGATTACTGACCACTCTCTATTAAAATGTGCAGATGAACCTGGCAGTGGTGGTACACGCCTTTGACCACAGCACTCCAGAGGCAGAGGCAGGCGAATCTCCATGAGTTCATAGGCCAGTCTGGTCTGCAGAACCAGCCAGTCTGGCTGGTTCCAAGACAGCCATGCAGTTACTTAGAGAGACCATGTCTGGAGAAACAAAACAAAACAAAAAAAAGTGCAGATGAGGTGTGATGAGACTAGTTATCTATAAACACATCACACTTCATCACCCAAATGAGTGTTATATTTCAAGTTAGTAATCCAAGAAGTCTGTATCTTTTTTTTTTTGGTGTTTTTATTGTTATTGTTTTGTTTGTTTGTTTGTTTGTTTGTTTGAGACAGGGTTTCTCTATGTAACAGCCCTAGCTGTTCTGGAACTCTCTTTGTAGACCAGGCTGGCCTCAACCCACAGAGATCCACCTGCCTCTGCTTTCGGAGAGCTTGAATTAAAGGCTCGTGTACCACCACACGCCTGGCTCGTGTCCTTCTTTTTAATACTGACATTTCAAGAATCACCTTCAGCATTTTTTATGGCAAAAGCTACAATAATGAATATTCACTATCTGCAGGTGGATCTGATTCATGTAAATAGCCAATAGAATCCAGGCCAAGGCTGATGAGTAAATAGGGTATGAAATATAGGTGGTAAATATGCTGGAGAACTTTTTTGGATCTAGAAGGATAATGAGGTGCAGAGTCACTATATATAAAAGAGCAATCCCAGTGCCATCCAGAACAGCACAGTCAGGGCTTCCGTGATAATAAATATGAATAGTGGTGCTAAGACAAATGAAAGAGGAATGAACGAAAGTGTACCTCCTCCCGGTTTTGTTCAAGTTCTCAGTCATAAAATGACAGATTTTCATGGGCTTGGTTTTGGTTGTTTTTTTGTTTTTTCCTATGTTGGGGACCAGAAGAGGGCCTTCTACAAGCTAGGCAAATACTCTACCATGAAGCTGTGTCCCCAGCTCCCAGAACTAGGTTTTCTTAGCAAGTAAGTTATGAAAAAAGTTATGTATCCCAATCTTTTGGATGTAAGAATTGCAAAGGATTGCCCGGCGGTGGTGGCGGCACACACCTTTAATCCCAGCACTCAGGAGGCAGATGCAGGTGGAGCCCTATGAGTTCAAGTTCAGCCTGGTCTACAAATCTAAACAGAGAAACCCTGTCTTGAAAAGAAAAATTGTAAAGGATTGAAGATGGAGACTGATGAATATAACTGAACCAATCAATCACTAAATCCTACAGCTTTTGTGTTCTATCTTTTGAATCTGCCTTTTTTATCCACCTTGCCATTCTGACTGACATTTTCAAGTGGGAAAGTCTTTTACTTTCCCTCAAATTATCCGCCCTGATTTTTTAAAAAATGTGGTTACTTCTTTATTTAGGGGAAGGGGCTATATGGAGGTCAGAGGACAACTTTTAAGAACTGGTTCTCTCTTTCCACCATTGAGAATTTACTCGGTGAGCCACCCTTGGGGGAAGGAGAAATAATTGCATGTGCATGGATGGTCAGAGAACAACTCTGTAGAATTAATTCTTTCCTTCCACCTTTACATGGGTCCTAGAAATTGCCCGGAAGCAATCTTGTTGGCCTTCCCAGTGTTTTTGTAACCCGTAGTCCTTTTTTCTCCTAATGCAGATCTGTCCCTTCCATATTGTGTTAGAATCATTATGGTTCCACCGTATCTCTAACCAGCTATAAACAACTACAACTGGAGAGCTGGCTCATCAGTTAAGAGCACTGGCTGCTCTTCCAGAGGACCAGGGTTAGAGTCCCAGCATCTACATTGTAGGTAGCTCACAACCGTCTGTGACACCAGTTCCAGTGGATCCGATGCCCTCTTCTGGCATCTACAGGCACTGAGAACATGTGCACAGACATACATGCAGCTAAAACATCCATACACATAAGTTTTTAAAAATAATAACATTATTCGAAGTTTGATGTTGTTTGATAGCTGATACTCACCAAATGGAGAAACTTAATATATTTAGAAAGATTTTGTTGTTTTTGTTTTCTACATAGGGCCACACTATGTAGCCCTGGGTGACCTGTAACTCCCTATGTAGGCCTAGGTTGCCTCAAACTCACAGAGCTCCACCTGCCTCTGCCTACCAAATTCTGGGATCAAAGGCATACGTCATCACACCTGGCTAATTTGGAGGTTTTTGTTTTGTTTTTCTAATCCAGATGTGTGAGTGTCCAGATGTTTGAGTGTGTGTGTGTGTGTGTGTGTGTGTGTGTGTGTGTGTGTGTGTCTGTGTCTGTGTCTGTGTGTATGCGTGTGTAGGTATGGAATGTGAGTGCAGGTGCCCAAAGGAGCCAGGAGGGGGCGTCGGATCCTGCAGCACTGGAGCTGCAGGCAGTTGTGAGTCACCTCATGTGAACTGGGAACTAAAAGCAGGCCCTCTTGAAGGGCAGGAAGTGCTCTTACTGCTGAGTCATCTCTCCAGCCCTGTTTTAAAAGCTTAGTAGCAATTTAACAAAGAAGCTTCACAGCAACTGTGTTTGAGAAATCTTTTGGTGCACTCTCAGAGTATTTTAAAAACATAGGGACAGCCAGGCAGACTGGCACAGGGCTACAATCTCAGTGCTGGGAATACAGAGGCAGCAAGATGCCAAGTTCAGGGTTAGCCTGGGCTACATACAACCCTGTCTCAAGAATTAAAAAGAACTTGAAAAAAGTTTTTCTTCCAGTTAAAGTAGGGGTTGTACAGAAGCTCCTGATGGATTCCCTATTGCCTAAATTCCCTTTTTGCTTTTGACTAGCATTTCAGCCTTCTTGGGTCCCTAACTTCATCCCAAAGTCAGCAGGAAGTAAGATGGGAAAGAATATGTCGCCCATTTTCCCTAGTTGAAATGCTAAATCAAAATAAACTCCCTTACATAGGGGATGCAAATATCTCTCACTCCCTGATGGGGACACCGGAGAGACAGCAATTCAATGATTGGAATGTCAAAAAAAGAAAATGGGGGAATGAAGGGACCAGCTCCCCGTTTTGGCAGCCATAACAGCCTA